CCACCACATTTTTCGACGGCAAAAAGCACCGATACTGGCGGTCAAGACCACTCCTATGCAAACGCATCAACACGACAGACATATCCCGCACGTCCTCTCCACGTGCATGCCGCCGAATGGACAATCTACGCCTGGCCGACTCGCAAAAGACTCCTGAGTAAAGTCTTTTGTGATTCAGAGCGTCACGAAACCAGGTACCGAATCTTCGGACCTTGCACATGTAGATCAGATTGTAAAGGCTGTCACACTTCAGTGAAGATGAACACAGCAGCTTGCATGTCTTCTCATTGAAGTTCTGGTCAGATGGAGTATCATCCATCAATTCCCGTCTCTTTGTTCATTTGCAGGCGTACTTTGTGAGCGAGAGCCAGGGTGCTCCTTTCTGGATGACCCAACCCAATAATCGTGGATAATCGTCCAAAAGAAATGAAACCAACACTGGACGCTTTCGAGCTGCCCAGTCCCGTCCTGACCCAGTCGGGTACAGTAGCAGCGTGTGACCGGCATGCCTCCGCCCGTGATTGATCCGGGGACCTTCTGTTTACAAGACAGATGCTCTACCACTGAGCCACGCAGGCTCGACTTGGTCGACGACCACCACATTTTTCGACGGCAAAAAGCACCGATACTGGCGGTCAAGACCACTCCTATGCAAACGCATCAACACGACAGACATATCCCGCACGTCCTCTCCACGTGCATGCCGCCGAATGGACAATCTACGCCTGGCCGACTCGCAAAAGACTCCTGAGTAAAGTCTTTTGTGATTCCAGACCGAAACGAAACCAGGTACCGAATCTTCAGACCTTGCACATGTAGATCAGATTGTAAAGGCTGTCACACTTCAGTGAAGATGAACACAGCAGCTTGCATGTCTTCTCATTGAAGTTCTGGTCAGATGGAGTATCATCCATCAATCCCGTCTCTTTGTTCATTTGCAGGCGTACTTTGTGAGCGAGAGCCAGGGTGCTCCTTTCTGGATGACCCAACCCAATAATCGTGGATAATCGTCCAAAAGAAATGGAACCAACAATAGACGCTTTCGAGCTGCCCAGTCCCGTCCTGACCCAGTCGGGTACAGTAGCAGCGTGTGACCGGCATGCCTCCGCCCGGGAACGATCCGGGGCCTTCTGTTTACAAGACAGATGCTCTACCACTGAGCCACGCAGGCTCGACTTGGTCGACGACCACCACATTTTCGACGGCAAAAAGCACCGATACTGGCGGTCAAGACCACTCCTATGCAAACGCATCAACACGACAGACATATCCCGCACGTCCTCTCCACGTGCATGCCGCCGAATGGACAATCTACGCCTGGCCGACTCGAAAAAGACTCCTGAGTAAAGTCTTTTGTGATTCAGAGCGTAACGAGACCAGGTACCGAATCTTCAGACCTTGCACATGTAGATCAGATTGTAAAGGCTGTCACACTTCAGTGAAGATGAACACAGCAGCTTGCATGTCTTCTCATTGAAGTTCTGGTCAGATGGAGTATCATCCATCAATTCCCGTCTCTTTGTTCATTTGCAGGCGTACTTTGTGAGCGAAAGCCAGGGTGCTCCTTTCTGGATGACCCAACCCAATAATCGTGGATAATCGTCAAAAGAAATGGAACCAACAATAGACGCTATCGAGCTGCCCAGTCCCGTCCTGGACCAGTCGGGTACAGTAGCAGCGTGTGACCGGCATGCCTCCGCCCGTGATTGATCCGGGGACCTTCTGTTTACAAGACAGATGCTCTACCACTGAGCCACGCAGGCTCGACTTGGTCGACGACCACCACATTTTCGACGGCAAAAAGCACCGATACTGGCGGTCAAGACCACTCCTATGCAAACGCATCAACACGACAGACATATCCGCCGCACGTCCTCTCCACGTGCATGCCGCCGAATGGACAATCTACGCCTGGCCGACTCGCAAAAGACTCCTGAGTAAAGTCTTTTGTGATTCAGAGCGTCACGAAACCAGGTACCGAATCTTCAGACCTTGCACATGTAGATCAGATTGTAAAGGCTGTCACACTTCAGTGAAGATGAACACAGCAGCTTGCCTGTCTTCTCATTGAAGTTCTGGTCAGATGGAGTATCATCCATCAATTCCCGTCTCTTTGTTCATTTGCAGGCGTACTTTGTGAGCGAGAGCCAGGGTGCTCCTTTCTGGATGACCCAACCCAATAATCGTGGATAATCGTCCAAAAGAAATGAAACCAACAATAGGCGCTTTCGAGCTGCCCAGTCCCGTCCTGACCCAGTCGGGTACAGTAGCAGCGTGTGACCGGCATGCCTCCGCCCGGGATTGATCCGGGGACCTTCTGTTTACAAGACAGATGCTCTACCACTGAGCCACGCAGGCTCGACTTGGTCGACGACCACCACATTTTCAACGGCAAAAAGCACCGATACTGGCGGTCATGACCACTCCTATGCAAACGCATCAACACGACAGACATATCCCGCACGTCCTCTCCACGTGCATGCCGCCGAATGGACAATCTACTCCTGGCCGACTCGCAAAAGACTCCTGAGTAAAGTCTTTTGTGATTCAGACCGTAACGAAACCAGGTACCGAATCTTCGGACCTTGCACATGTAGATCAGATTGTAAAGGCTGTCACACTTCAGTGAAGATGAACACAGCAGCTTTCATGTCTTCTCATTGAAGTTCTGGTCAGATGGAGTATCATCCATCAATTCCCGTCTCTTTGTTCATTTGCAGGCGTACTTTGTGAGCGAAAGCCAGGGTGCTCCTTTCTTGATAACCAACCCAATAATCGTGGATAATCGTCAAAAGAAATGGAACCAACAATAGACGCTTTCGGGCTGCCCAGTCCCGTTCTGACCCAGTCGGGTACAGTAGCAGCGTGTGACCGGCATGCCTCCGCCCGGGAACGATCCGGGGCCTTCTGTTTACAAGACAGATGCTCTACCACTGAGCCACGCAGGCTCGACTTGGTCGTCGACCGCCACATTTTTCGACGGCAAAAGCACCGATACTGGCGGTCAAGACCACTCCTATGCAAACGCATCAACACGACAGACATATCCCGCACGTCCTCTCCACGTGCATGCCGCCGAATGGACAATCTACGCCTGGCCGACTCGCAAAGACTCCTGAGTAAAGTCTTTTTGTGATTCAGAGCTGAAACGAAACCAGGTACCGAATCTTCAGACCTTGCACATGTAGATCAGATTGTAAAGGCTGTCACACTTCAGTGAAGATGAACACAGCAGCTTGCATGTCTTCTCATTGAAGTTCTGGTCAGATGGAGTATCATCCATCAATTCCCGTCTCTTTGTTCATTTGCAGGCGTACTTTGTGAGCGAGAGCCAGGGTGCTCCTTTCTGGATGACCCAACCCAATAATCGTTTATAATCGTCCAAAAGAAATGGAACCAACAATAGACGTTTTCGAGCTGCCCAGTCCCGTCCTGACCCAGACGGGTACAGTAGCAGCGTGTGACCGGCATGCCTCCGCCCGGGATTGATCCGGGGACCTTCTGTTTACAAGACAGATGCTCTACCACTGAGCCACGCAGGCTCGACTTGGTCGTCGACCACCACATTTTTCGACGGCAAAAAGCACCGATACTGGCGGTCAAGACCACTCCTATGCAAACGCATCAACACGACAGACATATCCCGCACGTCCTCTCCACGTGCATGCCGCCGAATGGACAATCTACGCCTGGCCGACTCGCAAAAGACTCCTGAGTAAAGTCTTTTTGTGATTCAGAGCGTCAAACGAAACCAGGTACCGAATCTTCAGACCTTGCGCACATGTAGATCAGATTGTAAGGCTGTCACACTTCAGTGAAGATGAACACAGCAGCTTGCATGTCTTCTCATTGAAGTTCTGGTCAGATGGAGTATCATCCATCAATTCCCGTCTCTTTGTTCATTTGCAGGCGTACTTTGTGAGCGAAAGCCAGGGTGCTCCTTTCTGGATGACCCAACCCAATAATCGTGGATAATCGTCCAAAAGAAATGGAACCAACAATAGGACGCTTTCGAGCTGCCCAGTCCCGTCCTGACCCAGTCGGGTACAGTAGCAGCGTGTGTGACCGGCATGCCTCCGCCCGGGATTGATCCGGGGACCTTCTGTTTACAAGACAGATGCTCTACCACTGAGCCACGCAGGCTCGACTTGGTCGACGACCACCACATTTTCGACGGCAAAAAGCACCGATACTGGCGGTCAAGACCACTCCCCTATGCAAACGCATCAACACGACAGACATATCCCGCACGTCTCCTCTCCACGTGCATGCCGCCGAATGGACAATCTACGCCTGGCCGACTCGTAAAAGATTCCTGAGTAAAGTCTTTTGTGATTCAGAGCGTCACGAAACCAGGTACCGAATCTTCAGACCTTGCACACGTAGATCAGATTGTAAAGGCTGTCACACTTCAGTGAAGATGAACAGCAGCTTTCCTGTCTTCTCATTGAAGTTCTGGTCAGATGGAGTATCATCCATCAATTCCCGTCTCTTTGTTCATTTGCAGATGTACTTTGTGAGCGAAAGCCAGGGTGCTCCTTTCTGGATGACCCAACCCAATAATCGTGGATAATCGTCCAAAAGAAATGGAACCAACAATAGACGTTTTCGAGCTGCCCAGTCCCGTCCTGACGCAGTCGGGTACAGTAGCAGCGTGTGACCGGCATGCCTCCGCCCGGGATTGATCCGGGGACCTTCTGTTTACAAGACAGATGCTCTACCACTGAGCCACGCAGGCTCGACTTGGTCGACGACCACCACATTTTTCGACGGCAAAAAGCACCGATACTGGCGGTCAAGACCACTCCTATGCAAACGCATCAACACGACAGACATATCCCGCACGTCCTCTCCACGTGCATGCCGCCAAATGGACAATCTACGCCTGGCCGACTCCGCATAAAGACTCCTGAGTAAAGTCTTTTTGTGATTCAGAGCGTCACGAAACCAGGTACCGAATCTTCGGACCCTTGCACATGTAGATCAGATTGTAAAGGCTGTCACACTTCAGTGAAGATGAACAGCAGCTTTCCTGTCTTCTCATTGAAGTTCTGGTCAGATGGAGTATCATCCATCAAATTCCCGTCTCTTTGTTCATTTGCAGGCGTACTTTGTGAGCGAAAGCCAGGGTGCTCCTTTCTGGATGACCCAACCCAATAATCGTGGATAATCGTCCAAAAGAAATGGAACCAACAGTAGGCGCTTTCGAGCTGCCCAGTCCCGTCCTGACCCAGTCGGGTACAGTAGCAGCGTGTGACCGGCATGCCTCCGCCCGGGATTGATCCGGGGACCTTCTGTTTACAAGACAGATGCTCTACCACTGAGCCACGCAGGCTCGACTTGGTCGACGACCACCACATTTTCGACGGCAAAAAGCACCGATACTGGCGGTCAAGACCACTCCTATGCAAACGCATCAACACGACAGACATATCCCGCACGTCCTCTCCACGTGCATGCCGCCGAATGGACAACTCTACGCCTGGCCGACTCGCAAAAGACTCCTGAGTAAAGTCTTTTGTGATTCAGAGCGTCACGAAACCAGGTACCGAATCTTCAGACCTCGCACATGTAGATCAGGATTGTAAAGGCTGTCACACTTCAGTGAAGATGAACACAGCAGCTTGCATGTCTTCTCATTGAAGTTCTGGTCAGATGGAGCATCATCCATCAATTCCCGTCTCTTTGTTCATTTGCAGGCGTACTTTGTGAGCGAAAGCCAGGGTGCTCCTTTCTGGATGACCCAACCCAATAATCGTGGATAATCGTCCAAAAGAAATGGAACCAACAATAGGACGCTTTCGAGCTGCCCAGTCCCGTCCTGACCCAGTCGGGTACAGTAGCAGCGTGTGACCGGCATGCCTCCGCCCGGGATTGATCCGGGGACCTTCTGTTTACAAGACAGATGCTCTACCACTGAGCCACGCAGGCTCGACTTGGTCGACGACCACCACATTTTTCGACGGCAAAAAGCACCGATACTGGCGGTCAAGACCACTCCTATGCAAACGCATCAACACGACAGACATATCCCGCACGTCCTCTCCACGTGCATGCCGCCGAATGGACAATCTACTCCTGGCCGACTCGCAAAAGACTCCTGAGTAAAGTCTTTTTTGTGATTCAGACTGAAACGAAACCAGGTACCGAATCTTCGGACCTCGCACATGTAGATCAGATTGTAAAGGCTGTCACACTTCAGTGAAGATGAACACAGCAGCTTGCATGTCTTCTCATTGAAGTTCTGGTCAGATGGAGCATCATCCATCAATTCCCGTCTCTTTGTTCATTTGCAGGCGTACTTTGTGAGCGAGAGCCAGGGTGCTCCTTTCTGGATGACCCAACCCAATAATCGTGGATAATCGTCCAAAAGAAATGGAACCAACAATAGGACGCTTTCGAGCTGCCCAGTCCCGTCCTGACCCAGTCGGGTACAGTAGCAGCGTGTGACCGGCATGCCTCCGCCCGGGATTGATCCGGGGACCTTCTGTTTACAAGACAGATGCTCTACCACTGAGCCACGCAGGCTCGACTTGGTCGTCGACCACCACATTTTTCGACGGCAAAAAGCACCGATACTGGCGGTCAAGACCACTCCTATGCAAACGCATCAACACGACAGACATATCCCGCACGTCCTCTCCACGTGCATGCCGCCGAATGGACAATCTACTCCTGGCCGACTCGCAAAAGACTCCTGAGTAAAGTCTTTTGTGATTCAGACTGAAACGAAACCAGGTACCGAATCTTCGGACCTCGCACATGTAGATCAGATTGTAAAGGCTGTCACACTTCAGTGAAGATGAACAGCAGCTTTCCTGTCTTCTCATTGAAGTTCTGGTCAGATGGAGTATCATCCATCAATTCCCGTCTCTTTGTTCATTTGCAGGCGTACTTTGTGAGCGAAAGCCAGGGTGCTCCTTTCTGGATGACCCAACCCAATAGTCGTGGATAATCGTCCAAAAGAAATGGAACCAACAATAGGCGCTTTCGAGCTGCCCAGTCCCGTCCTGACCCAGTCGGGTACAGTAGCAGCGTGTGACCGGCATGCCTCCGCCCGGGATTGATCCGGGGACCTTCTGTTTACAAGACAGATGCTCTACCACTGAGCCACGCAGGCTCGACTTGGTCGACGACCACCACATTTTCGACGGCAAAAAGCACCGATACTGGCGGTCAAGACCACTCCTATGCAAACGCATCAACACGACAGACATATCCCGCACGTCCTCTCCACGTGCATGCCGCCGAATGGACAATCTACTCCTGGCCGACTCGCAAAAGACTCCTGAGTAAAGTCTTTTTGTGATTCAGACTGAAACGAAACCAGGTACCGAATCTTCGGACCTCGCACATGTAGATCAGATTGTAAAGGCTGTCACACTTCAGTGAAGATGAACACAGCAGCTTGCATGTCTTCTCATTGAAGTTCTGGTCAGATGGAGTATCATCCATCAATTCCCGTCTCTTTGTTCATTTGCAGGCGTACTTTGTGAGCGAAAGCCAGGGTGCTCCTTTCTGGATGACCCAACCCAATAATCGTGGATAATCGTCCAAAAGAAATGGAACCAACAATAGGACGCTTTCGAGCTGCCCAGTCCGTCCTGACCCAGTCGGGTACAGTAGCAGCGTGTGACCGGCATGCCTCCGCCCGGGATTGATCCGGGGACCTTCTGTTTACAAGACAGATGCTCTACCACTGAGCCACGCAGGCTCGACTTGGTCGACGACCACCACATTTTTCGACGGCAAAAAGCACCGATACTGGCGGTCATGACCACTCTTATGCAAACGCATCAACACGACAGACATATCCCGCACGTCCTCTCCACGTGCATGCCGCCGAATGGACAATCTACTCCTGGCCGACTCGCAAAAGACTCCTGAGTAAAGTCTTTTGTGATTCAGACTGAAACGAAACCAGGTACCGAATCTTCGGACCTCGCACATGTAGATCAGATTGTAAAGGCTGTCACACTTCAGTGAAGATGAACACAGCAGCTTGCATGTCTTCTCATTGAAGTTCTGGTCAGATGGAGTATCATCCATCAATTCCCGTCTCTTTGTTCATTTGCAGGCGTACTTTGTGAGCGAGAGCCAGGGTGCTCCTTTCTGGATGACCCAACCCAATAGTCGTGTATAATCGTCAAATGAAATGGAACCAACACTGGACGCTTTCGAGCTGCCCAGTCCCGTCCTGGACCAGTCGGGTACAGTAGCAGCGTGTGAACGGCATGCCTTCGCATTGATACGGGGACCTTCTGTTTACAAGACAGATGCTCTACCACTGAGCCACGCAGGCTCGACTTGGTCGTCGACCGCCACATTTTCGACGGCAAAAAGCACCGATATTGGCGGTCAAGACCACTCCTATGCAAACGCATCAACACGACTGACATATCCCGCACGTCCTCTCCACGTGCATACCGCCGAATGGACAATCTACGCCTGGCCGACTCGCAAAAGACTCCTGAGTAAAGTCTTTTGTAATTCAGACTGAAACGAAACCAGGTACCGAATCTTCAGACCTTGCACATGTAGATCAGATTGTAAAGGCTGTCACACTTCAGTGAAGATGAACAGCAGCTTGCATGTCTTCTCATTGAAGTTCTGGTCAGATGGAGTATCATCCATCAATTCCCGTCTCTTTGTTCATTTGCAGGCGTACTTTGTGAGCGAAAGCCAGGGTGCTCCTTTCTGGATGACCCAACCCAATAATCGTGTATAATCGTCCAAAAGAAATGGAACCAACAATAGGCGCTTTCGAGGCTGCCCAGTCCCGTCCTGACCCAGTCGGGTACAGTAGCAGCGTGTGACCGGCATGCCTCCGCCCGGGATTGATCCGGGGACCTTCTGTTTACAAGACAGATGCTCTACCACTGAGCCACGCAGGCTCGACTTGGTCGTCGACCACCACATTTTTCGACGGCAAAAGCACCGATACTGGCGGTCAAGACCACTCCTATGCAAACGCATCAACACGACAGACATATCCCGCACGTCCTCTCCACGTGCATGCCGCCGAATGGACAATCTACTCCTGGCCGACTCGCAAAAGACTCCTGAGTAAAGTCTTTTGTGATTCAGACTGAAACGAAACCAGGTACCGAATCTTCAGACCTTGCACATGTAGATCAGATTGTAAAGGCTGTCACACTTCAGTGAAGATGAACAGCAGCTTGCATGTCTTCTCATTGAAGTTCTGGTCAGATGGAGTATCATCCATCAATTCCCGTCTCTTTGTTCATTTGCAGGCGTACTTTGTGAGCGAAAGCCAGGGTGCTCCTTTCTGGATGACCCATCCCAATAACCGTGGACAATCGTCCAAAGAAATGGAACCAACAATAGGCGCTTTCGGGCTGCCCAGTCCCGTCCTGACCCAGTCGGGTACAGTAGCAGCGTGTGACCGGCATGCCTCCGCCCGGGAACGATCCGGGGACCTTCTGTTTACAAGACAGATGCTCTACCACTGAGCCACGCAGGCTCGACTTGGTCGTCGACCACCACATTTTCGACGGCAAAAAGCACCGATACTTGGCGGTCAAGACCACTCCTATGCAAACGCATCAACACGACAGACATATCCCGCACGTCCTCTCCACGTGCATGCCGCCGAATGGACAATCTACTCCTGGCCGACTCGTAAAAGACTCCTGAGTAAAGTCTTTTGTGATTCAGAGCTGAAACGAAACCAGGTACCGAATCTTCAGACCTCGCACATGTAGATCAGATTGTAAAGGCTGTCACACTTCAGTGAAGATGAACACAGCAGCTTGCATGTCTTCTCATTGAAGTTCTGGTCAGATGGAGTATCATCCATCAATTCCCGTCTCTTTGTTCATTTGCAGGCGTACTTTGTGAGCGAAAGCCAGGGTGCTCCTTTCTGGATGACCCAACCCAATAATCGTGGATAATCGTCCAAAAGAAATGGAACCAACAATAGGACGCTTTCGGGCTGCCCAGTCCCGTCCTGACCCAGTCGGGTACAGTAGCAGCGTGTGACCGGCATGCCTCCGCCCGGGATTGATCCGGGGACCTTCTGTTTACAAGACAGATGCTCTACCACTGAGCCACGCAGGCTCGACTTGGTCGTCGACCGCCACATTTTCGACGGCAAAAAGCACCGATACTGGCGGTCAAGACCACTCCTATGCAAACGCATCAACACGACAGACATATCCCGCACGTCCTCTCCACGTGCATGCCGCCGAATGGACAATCTACGCCTGGCCGACTCGCAAAAGACTCCTGAGTAAAGTCTTTTGTGATTCAGAGCGTCACGAAACCAGGTACCGAATCTTCAGACCTTGCACATGTAGATCAGATTGTAAAGGCTGTCACACTTCAGTGAAGATGAACA